GCTATGGAGTCCCTGGTCTGTCTGTTCAGGACTCCAATCTGGGGAAAGAGCCTTGGCTCTGAATCTGCCCTAACTTGGAAACTATTTTCCCACTTCTATAATGGCCACAAAAGTTTCTTTGGCCTTATGTCCCCCATGGCCATGTACCCACCATTCCTACAGGTTCTGGTCTTGTCTAGTCTGTGCTTTCAGGTCATAGTATGTGCCTTCAGAACATAAAGCATCCTGGGTCATTCGCCCCTCCCCCTTCTCTGTCCCTAGTAGTGACATGACCGTCTCCCTTATCCGTGAATGAAGACAGCAAGCAAGCATTCTACAGGTAATGACCTTGCTTCTTTCTCAGTCTCTTCCTCCTTCTCCTTTTTCCACATATAAGTTTGCATGCACACTTGCAGGAGCGCTAAGGAAGTGAATGGATTAAGAAAACCACTACAGGGTAGGTAATTTCTTAATCCACGAAGCAGAGAAGAGAGTATATCTGAGTCGTCACTTCCCTCAGCCAAAGCTGCTACCCTTACTGATCACATCAACACTCTGTGATTTCAAAGGACGGAAAGCCACCTCCCAGCCTCTCAATTTGGAGAGGGGAGCTATAGTATCCTACACCCCCTGCCTTGAGAATAAGGAGATGCAAATGGAACCTCTGTCTTACAGGAAGCCGGTTCTGTCCAGCCACCAGGATGTCCATGCCACCAACCCATGAACTTCCTGGAGGTGGCATTGGGTTTATCAGCATCCCAGGCCACTGCTAACAAGGACTTGACTAACATGGGATCCAGAACCCTTCTGCTTCAGCCATATCTGGGCCCACTAATAACCACTGGCCACAGCCTGAGAGTGATTTAGGAAGACCTTGAAGAGGTGATGGGAACTCTTGGACTCAGGCATACTCATCAGGCTCTCCAGCCTCACAGTTGTCCATCCATATTAGGAATGTACCAGAGGATGCTAGATAGCTCTGAGTCTTGAAACTAAGACCAAGGCCCTGTAGGAGTCATCTCACGAACCCTCCCCCTGTATTCCCAGGGCAGAGATTCTGGAGGACCTGCTTTCACCACTGCTCCTCACCCACAGAACCCCACAGGAAGAGAGGAGATCTTTGCAGACTGCAAGCCTTGGCTCATGGGGCCTACTTAGAAGCTCCATGTGGGGGCACTGTGGTGTACAGGGAGGGAACACTGTTTGAAAGCAGTTTCTTCTCTTTGTAAATTATTTAAGACATCTGCTATGTCATTCTATTAAAAAGATACCAGTGTGTCAGTTTCGCAGACCACATTGTTTTTTTTTTTAATAATAAAAGCTCACTTTTGATGCTTGACATTTTAAAAAATATATATCTACACATACCCTGACCCCACACTGAGTGACAGGTCTGGAGCTCATCCTTGTGTCCCCTATCCCCTCTGCTCCTGTCCTTCTCTCAGAGGGAACCAGAATAAAAGAAAAGCTTTTTCACCTTAGTCCAAAACAAAGCACATCTTAAAGGCAAATAAGGTTTTTATTTAAGTGACAATGTTTCAGAGTTAAAAACAGCTCACATCAAAATCAAGACTGATTGTAAAAATCTTTTAACTCTGTAATGCTGTTTTTGTCTTGTTAGAAATCGGATATTTTACATTTTCTTTTCTAACGGATTTTGTACAAGGCAGCCATGAGGACTAAAATAAGCCTTTTCTATCACAGAACCGTCCACCGCAGAGAGGACTGGAAGTTACACACAGGGACAGGCAGACGGCAGACAAGGTCAGACCGGCTGCCACCACTGAGTAAACAAAGAGAAAGGGACAGTGGGTCTGAGTCTGAGGGGGAATGTCCCGCGCTAGCCACTCTCCTGGACTCCCGCTCCTTGCGTCCCCCATCTCTTCCAGAGTGTGGAGTCAGTTTTCTTCCCAGCCTTCCTGTTAGTTTCCCAACAAGATAGAACTCAACAGGGCCTTGCTACTTGTACTAAACATTTAACTTGAGTGTATAAGAAATTCCTCCCAAGCCCAGAAGGAAAGAAAAGGGGATTTTTTTTTTTCCAGAGCACTTGGAATGGAACCCTGGGAATTCCACTGGAAAGTTGGTTGTTTAAGGCGGGGTCAACTGCAAAGCTCCTACAGTCAGGGTGGCCCTCCCAGGTGGGGCGTCACCTGAGCCGAATGTGGAGCATGCCTGCAAAGGTGGCACCTCCTCCAGACTTGGGGGCACCAGTCTGGCAGGGTCCAGTCTTCGATAGGTGCTATGTTTTATCTGCAGGTCACTTCCGGGGCACAGCTCTGGGTTGCAAAGTACCCCAAGTACAGTTTTAAAACCATTAGATACAGCCTCCCCTCCTTCAGAGGAGCACCCCAGTAATCTCAGGAATACTGGGGGTTCAGATACATATGTTGTAGCCCAGCACCCAGGCAGGAAGGCTGTTTGTCTGAATGCATGAAAATAATTTACTTTTTAAAAAAAATATCCCCTGGTGCTTGAGGGAGAAGTCAGTCTTTGGGGGAGGGGGTATGAAGCTGGAAGAACAGACTCCAGCAACCCATAACAGGACAAGGGATTAAGGAAGTTATCAAGCATCCCTCAGCCAGGTCAGGACAGCCACCACACGGGAAGAACAAACATGCCACTCAGATACGGGAACTTTGGTCAAGCAGGAACATGTTTCCAGCAGCTGGAGAGCAGGCACACCAGGAGCTAGAGGTAACTAGAAAACAGCTGGATGGAGGGTCACAGAAATACTGGAGGAGGCACCAGCACTCCTCCTGGAGAACACTAGGAATCAGTTCCTTTTGTCTCTGACTTAACAAAGCACTAGTAGGAATCACGCACAGAGTAGTTGCCAGGAAGCATGCCTCACAGGCCAGCCATAGCTCCTAGGGTGGTGGTCACAACACCTGTACACCAATGACTTCTCACAAAAAAAGGGATCATCCAAGCAAAAGAGGGGTGGGGCCTCTGGCTGGCTGGCTCTGGCCTACACAGAGCCCTGTCACAGGCTCTAGTCTCCCTGGGGGTTTCCCACTCACACATGCACTCAGCCTGGGGTTCTCAGAAAAGGAAGAGGCTATTTATCATTTGAAAGTTAGCCTCAGTGGCTCCTGCTGAGCAGAGAGAAAAATCTGTCCAAACTCAAATCACAGCATTTAAGGGAAAGGACTGGGATTAAGGTACCTACGACATCTGAGCTGGTGCCAGAAGATAGGCAAGGATGAGCTTCTAGGAGGAGTGGGGGTCGGGGGAGGCAGGTATGAACTTCTTCTAGGAGGCAGGATAGGAGGAGGAAGCAGAAGCTGGTCCCACGCCTTCTTGCCTGCTCTACAGCCCCCTGGCAGTGCTGGGTTTGGTTTGCTGAATGCAGTGCTGATGGTGCAGTGGAGAGCTGGCAGATGGGACAGGATGGGCAGAGGGAACAGGAGCTGGCAGGCTGGAGAAGACATTTGAGTGGAAAGAGCAGGGTGGGTACCAGGAGCCTGCACCCTCCCCAGCCCCAGTGAGGCACCCAGGTTGCTGGGCAACTCACAACAGGGTGTCAGTCACCCCCATCAGCAGCCACCAGGGGCTGCATGGGAGCTGCAAGAGGTAGACATTGAGCAGAAGCAACACTGGGCTGACATGTGCCTGCAGTGGACACAGGTATTTGGCCCCGGCCTCAGTGGCAGCCCAGGGGCCCCAAGATATCCAAGTGGCCATGCAACAGGTATCAGCCTGGGCCAGAGAGCAAGGGGAGGCCTGTGCCAAGGCCATGGGCTTGGCAACAAGGAGACACCTCCCCCCCACTTGCCACCACCTTAAAGGGTCTATGTCCTTATAGGAGGTTCTAGGCTCAACCCAAACTGGCCAGAAAGAGGAAGAGAATACAACACAACGGTTTGAGCCAATATTCCATGAACCTCCAGAACCCAAGATCTCAGCTCTGTGTATGCCAGAAACCTAAAGGGAACCACGAATCTGAACAGAGCTATGGGAAGGGCAGCCATGTCGCCTTTTGTTGGTGGAGGGAATCTGTTTCCCTCCATGTTACACAAATCGGCTTATTCTCCAGGAAGTAGTGGCTTCCTTCCTCTGAAGTGCTGGACTCCTTTTCAGCCCCACCCCTAGAACCCCTCCCCAAGGATGGGGAGGGGTGGAATGAGGAGGAAGCCCACGGGGCATTCTGAAAAACTCCAGAGGAGCAGAAATGCTGGACAGCCTAGGAGTCAAAGCCAGTGCCCATCTCAGCCAGGAGGCCCCCTCTAGTTACAGAAACAAGGCAGGGCCCAAAGAGTAGTTATGCTACAGGGCACACAGCCAGACCAAGTAGGGGCTGAGTCCACAGCTGCACAAGGCAAGACTCAGGGAAGAGGATTGTCCTCAAGGACCACAGGAGACTATGGATACCGAGAACAAGAACGGAGACAAAGGACAGCTGCAAGACAAACAGTCAGCACCAGGCCCAGTCCCCAAGGTTGTGGACAAACTCCACATACTTAGATTGGACCCAGGGATTATCTTCTCCCATAAAGTGATCTCTCTGTGTCATAAGACAGCCAGCCCCAAAGTGGTGCCCCGGATATTACAAGGAGGGCAGACACAAATGCCACTCGCTCCTCTACAGACGGTTGCTGTACCTGCAATCGGCCACCTGCCCGGGCGCGTGCCCAGCGCTGGGAGGTTCTCTTGTTAGAGCCTGCCTAGCGCAGCTACAGAAACCTCAGCACTCAAAAAGATGGTCAACTTTACCCAAACACTGGCATAGGCAGGCTTGGCCCCAGGATCACACACACAAACAATACCCCTGACTCCAGCTTGCGGGCACAGGAGTGGGGAGGCGGAGGCGGCTTCACTGAGACACCCCGGATTTCACCCCATCGCAGCCCAGAGAGCTCCCCAACGTCAGGGCAAGGTCCCTCCCTGCTCTGGTCGGACACTGCTGGACAGACACGGGAGGGAAAAAGCAGGAAAACGCCTGTGTCGGAGAGAAGACACCCCTTCCCATCCCTGCAGGCCGCCTAGCTGCGTCCACTGCAGTGAGCACTGCCCACCCCTCAGGGCACCGACTCGAACTTGGGGGGCCCACGCGCCCAGCTGAGAGCGGGCAGCGGCCGCTCGTGGTCCTTATCGGACTCGGGCTGGCTCTGCGCCCGCTCGGGCTTGGGGTTGGCGGCCGGAGGGTCCGGCTGCTGCACCGACATGGTCCTGCGCAGGTGGTTGCGCTTGCGCAGAAATTCTGGCTGCGCGTGCAGCCCAAAGCTGCCCTTGCGCAGGATCATGCGCGAGTTGTTCTTCTTGGGGCGAGAGCGGTGGCTGGCCTCCAGTGCCGCCAGGTGTGCTGCGTAGCCTTCACTCAGGAACTGTGGAGGCAACAAGCGTCAGGTTAGCACCTGACCCTGTCTCCCGGCATCGCCCCTTCCCTTAGACATCCTCAGACATCTGCAGCTTCTCTGGGATCCAAAACCAGTAGCAGCGATGCTCATTACCGTAGAAGGGTTTCCATAGGCTACTGAGCACCTATCTATGTCTGTACACCAGGCGCTTCCTGTGTCCTTCATCCCCACTCCACCGGCTTCCCGGGAAGCAAGTTTTGCCCTAGAGTCTAAGTTTGCGGGTCATCTCCAAAGCCCCATCATTCTGTCATTCGCAATGGCACTGCTATGCTATACAAGTCATTGCTGTTTTGCCTTCCCCTAGATGCCATCGCGTCTGCCGCCACTTGTATTCTCCCATGCGTCCAGCAGGGGGCCTGGCCCAAGGCATTGCTCAATAGACATGAATGAATACGTAAAAGAAAAGATTAGCAGGTAACTGAATGATTAGAAGCTGCCCCAACCCCTTTCCCTGGCCCTCACACACCTGGCACTGGGTTTGGTATTTCTTGGTGGGCCGGCCCACGATGAAGATCTGGGAGGCAGGGAGGCCCAGCACACTGTAGACAGAGATATCTTTCGTGGAGCCATAGGCAGCAGTGATTTTGATGAAACACTGAAACAAAAGCAAGCTAGTGAAGAGGGAGGAAGACTTAGGGAGCCCCTGCTGGGGAACCCTTCATCTGCACTCAGACACCAAGCCATCATTCCACCTCTCATAGAAGCCACCCCCAGATGATTGCCCCTCTCTCTCAGTTCCTCACATTAGGTCCGAGATAGTGCTATGGCTCTACCAGAGAGCGGCCACATTATTTGCTGACACCACTGCCCATCACACACACACACCACACCACACCTCCCACTGTGGGGCCAAGTGTCCCTTTGGTTCCAGGTCTTTGCATTATGGACCCTAAACTGGAGGCCAGCTCTAGGCCTGACAGCTGGTCGATGAGCTCTCCAGACACACTCTGGAGACAGGCCCTCCTTGTTCTAGGGGTGCTAACTTTTAGCTCATCACCTAATCTCACCCAGCTGGTGGTGCTCACCACCCGGCTAGTCGAGATGTATGTCTCCCATCCGTGTCACCCTTTGTCCTACGAAGTTCACTCAGGATGTGTGGTTTAGTTTCATGTCCACCTGACACAATTAGAGTTACCTGAAAGGAGGGAACCTCAATTGAGAAAATGTCTCCACCTGATCTGGCTGCAGGGCATCTTCCTAATTTGTGATTCATGGAGAAAAGCCCAGCCCATTGTGGGTGGAGCCATCCCTGGGCTAATGGTCCTGGGTTCTATAAGAAGGCAAGCTGAGCAATCCATGTGAGCAAGCCAGTAAGCAGCACCCTTCCATGGCCTCTGCATCAGACCCTGCCTCCAGACTTCTGTCCTGTTTGAGTTCTTGTCCCAATTTCCTTCAATTATGAAGCGGAAGTATAAGATAAACAAATCCTTTCCTCCCCAACTTGCTTTTGGTGATGGTAGCTCATCACAGCAATAGTAACCCAGCTAAAACAGAGGACTTAAGGCTGAGCTGCAGTTTCTTTCCTTTAAAATGCACTGTCATCACCAGGGTGACTTACTGTCAGCTAGAGTTCAGTTATGAAGCGTACCCTACAAGCACATGTGCAGTAAGCCTGGTCTCCAGTTGGTGGCGCCATTGAGAAGTGACTAGTTGGTGTATGCTAACTTCATCAATGGGGTTGATCCATCGATGAGTTCATAGCTAAACGGACTTAGGTAGGGCTTAGTTAGATTAAGCTTTCCTCTGGCTTGCTCTGTTTCCCGGACACTATCGGTCATGCAGCTGTCTTCTGCCACCCACTCCCAACACTATTATTTACTCCCACGCTGGCCTACAGCAATGAGACCAGCAGACTACAGGCTGACACCTCTGAAATCATGAGCCGAATAAGACTTTCCTCCCTCAAGTCAATTTCTCAGGTGTCTGTCACAAGGACAGAAAGAGAGGTGATGTACACTGTCCACATGGAGAGCCTGATGCCTCCCACCCCTACGACCTGCTCCAGGATGAGACCCACCTTTACTCTGTACCCTCCTGCTCTATCCCCTTGGCCTTTAGAGCTGTCCTTTCCTCATCAAGACCATCCACTGCACAGTCTTCAGCTGGTGGTCAGCTGTCACTGTCCCACTTTCACAAGAAAAGGTCTCTCTCTTGCTGCTGGAAACCCTCCCTGTCCTGGCCCTCTTCCTCTCCAACCATCCTTCCTCGTCTCAGCTGACTTTTCACTCTGCTCTCAGAAGCCCAGATTCACCTGGATCCAGCCATTCCTGGGGGGATGCCTGTCCCTACACAGCTCCAGCCTGCAGCCCAGGCTGCTGCCCTGATCCATGTGCCGGAAGTCGCATGGCTCATGACCCGTGCTCCTCATGGCCATGTCTGACCTCACCTTCTCCCTGCCTCTTCCTCCTCTTGTATCCATTCTCATTTCATCCATTTATTCATTTGTGCATTCATTCTACTAGCATTTATTGAGCACCTATTGTGTGTCATCATTGCCCCAGATCCTAGAGATGCACCTTGAGCAATGCAAATAAACCCAATGGCACCTTGATCTCTCCTGGATATGCAATGGAACATCTGAGAGCTCCTTGCCCATAATCATTCCCAAGTTCTGACAATGCCACCAACTGATTCTCCTGACTGTGCATGCCTTTCTCTCTGTCTCATGTTATTATCTGGATTCTAGTCTGCTAACAACCCACCCCACCCCCTTATCTTTTGCCAGTGTGTTCTCGAGTGAGCTGCCAGAGGGATCTTTCTATAACTCAAATTAGATTCTGTCACTGCCCTACTTCAGACTCACCCATTGCTCCACACTGCCCTCAGCAGAGAGCCCAAGAGCTGATGTGGTTGCCAGGGTTTATAAAACCTACCAAGCTTAGGTGTCTCATGAAATCTAGAGCCTTAGCTCTCATCTGTCCTTGATCTGACTCTGCCTGCACATAACCCCATTCTGTATCCCTGAAGCCCTGAGAACATCCCAGGCTACTTCTCATCCCTGCACCTTTGCATCTGATGAAAGTTGTCAAAATCAAAGTGGAATCACTTGGGTCATTGACTCCATCATGAAGCCAGGAGATTATGAAAGAAGTATTCCCAGTCATGATGGCCTGATAATAACTCTCCTCCCCCCCCAGCACATATACACACATGTTCTCTCTCTCTCTCTCTCTCTCTCTCTCTCTCTCTCTCTCTCTCTCTCTCTCTCTCTCTCTCTGCCAGGACCATAACCTTACACAAAAGCCTGCAACCTCCAGGCATGGTGGCACATGCCTTTAATCCCAGCACTTGGAAGGTAGAAGCAGGTGGATCTCTGTAAGTTTGAGGCTAACCTGGTCTACATTGGGGGCCCTAAGCAAGCCAGGTTAGACAGTGAGACATGATCTAAAATTAAGAATTTTAAATGTAAAAAAGCTGTAGCAGGATATTTTCCCACTACATTTGCAATAAAGCTCAGTCATTGGGCAGTATGAAAGATAGGTGGAGCGAGGAGTTAGGAGGAAAGAGGGAGAGAAAGGGGAGAAGGAGGAGGAGGAGAGAAGATGGCTGTGGATGTACACGTGTCTCTAGTAGTCTAAGGTAGTTATAATATCTAGGTTAGATAATTGGGTAACAATTCCAAAATGTGTGTGCATCTTGTTAATTGAGCATTTCCAAATATATAAATCCATTGGATAATCTTTAAGCTTTAAGAGTCTTTATTCTACCAGATACTGCGGGCATAACGGGAATGGTCTGGGCTCAGCCCAGCATTGTGGACAGCGTGGTGGATTGGCAGAGCCAGCCACCATGCTAGCATCTCGTGGGTGTCAGGGCTGGTGTTTCTACATAGCCGGAGCTGTCCAGAGCTGGAACAGCAGGAAAATGGTGGCTCCCCATGAATAAGCCGGACTGGGCACCATTTTCTACAAAAAGCTACAAAAAGTCAACTGCAATCTTACACAAACAGTCCGTCTCCAATTATGTCTGCTCAGTGACTGTCCATTCACCCTCAGACTGAGGTCGTCATTGTTATCTCTTGTTGTATTCAAACAGTGTTGTTTTAGAATATATTTTGTCATCCTCCCTCCTTTTTTGCCTTTACAAATTCCCTTTGCCTCAATCTCTTTGACTAGTCCCATAAACCACTGTGACACATGTATCCTCCCACGGGGCTATTCCCAAATAAAGCTTGATTTCACATCCATCTTAACCTCTTTATATTTCCCCAGGTCCAGCACATACTGCTTTGCCATCTACCTGACAACTCACACTCGTATGTCAGGACTAAGCCCACAAGTTATCACCTACTATCAGCAGCCCGGGCTTCCCAGGCAGACCTAAGACCTTCCTCCTCTGTTTGCCAATATTGCCCCTTTTCTGCCACACACCAGTAATTGTCAATTTCCATGCCTTTCTTTCTCTAGATCAGGGATTGGCAGACTTTTTCTTTGAAAAGCCAAATAGTAAATATTTTAGGCTTTGAGCTCTGCCACAGTGACTCGACTCAGCTCTTCCACTGCAGCGCAAAGGCAGCCGCAGACAATACATAAACAGATGAGCTTGGCTGTGTGCCAAGAAAACTTTATTTATGGACACCAAAATTTGAACTTGTATAGTTTTCATTTGTCTGCTCCTGCTCTCATATGTGAGTCTCTCTCTCTCTCTCTCTCTCTCTCTCTCTCTCTCTCTCTCTCTCTCTCTCTCCCTCCCTCCCTCCCTCCCTCCCTCCCTCCCTCCCTCCCTCTCCCCCTCCTTTCCTCCTTCTTCCCATCACCCAAACCCATCTCCAAAGCATCAGAATCCCCTGGAGCCCTGGAGGGCTTTACACAAAAATGTCCCAGCCTCCTCCCAGAGTTTCTGCTGCCTAGCTGAGCTCAGGAGTTTGTATGTCTAGTGATTCCCAGGTACAGATACAAGAATTACAGCTCTAGGTGGCAGATTAACAAAACAAAACAAAACAAAAAAAACAGGCTAGAACAACCAGCACCAGGCAGCGAAGAACACAACCGGGCCTGAAATGTTTCAATAGGCACTAAGATATATCTGTTGAAGAAATAACCAGATGTAGAGACAAAAATTTAGGCCTTGGAGTCAGAAACGATAAAGCATGAATATCTGTCAGTGAAGATATCTGCCTATCTCCTGTTAAGACGTCCCAGTGAGAGACATACTATCAACAAAATATGCTCCCCCATACACACATACCAGCTGATGACCTCGATGCCCAGTCCCTTGGCATTTAGAGAGAAGGGGAGGAGCGTGGAGAAGGTCAGGGATTAAGCCCTCTGCTGACTAATGGAGGCCTGCGGCTCTTCAAGGCCCCGCCTTCGCATGGGTGGAGCCACAGTCCAATCCTCCATAACTCCTTACCGGCTCATACTTACCTCCTGTATGAGGTTGCGAAGGAAGATGGCCTTCTGCCTCAGTGGGTCGTGCACCAGTCCGTCCGAGAAGAAGATCATGCCCTGTGGGAAGTTGTGCTGGGACAGCCACGACACCACCCGCTGCTTCTGCATGTCCGGCCGCCCCGTGATGTAAAGGATCATGTAGCCCAGGTCCTGCCAGTGCCTGGCGAGATGGCATCGCTGGGTCCAGCTCAACCTGCTACAGGCCGCCCACTGCCCAAGTTTCTGCCCTGACTGCTGCTGCCTTCCGGAGAAGCCAGCAGTAATGGTAAGGGGCTCTCAAGTCCTCGCCCCTGGTGAGTAGTGGACATTTGGATGGCCTGTGAGGACTAGCCCTACCTGATACCTCCCCGTTTCCCTCTCCTGCTTCCACCTTCTCCACTAACAAGACAACTTCCAATACCCACAGGCCATAGGCTGTGTGCCTCACCTTCAGTGCCTGGTCCTTAGTGTAACCTTGAACTACACACACACACACACACACACACACACACACACACACACAGAGGCTCAGTTTCCCCATCTTACAGAAGGGGTAATCATCCAAACACCCCCATGGGGCTATGTCAAGAATAAAGGCACTGATCCCAAAGCAGCTTGACATAGTCTGCCTGACAGAGTTGGCTTCATTATCATCCTTGACTATTTCCATGGAGATTTCTATAAACCATAAACCCAACCCTGTTGCTCTTTTGCTTGAAACCATACCTCGTTCCCTAGTGCTGAAGTAATATTTCAAGGCTTCCCTCTGCTCTTGGACTCTGTCCTGGTAAGTGGGATCGCCCAATCCACACAGGGGTGTTCTGTCACCCCTGTAATAGCCCTGCTGTGCTCCTGACTCAGGACCCTCCTCTAGACTACCAACATCCTTGTATATTCCTCTTCCAGGAAGCTCTCCCCACTTCCCAGGCAGAATCTTTACTCTGTTTCTTTACTCTGTTTTCCATGGATGGCCCAGGGTACAGATAAGTTCAGACCCGGTTAGGTACTTTTGTGGCACTAGCCACCAACTGGCTGCCATAGTGGGCTTTCTAAAGCCAGATGGTGATCTAACCACTTGGAAAACTGTGAAGGTGCACAGTGTGGGTGTTACAGGGATGCTGGGAGACCCCAGATGGACCCCCAGACATATGGGTCTGTGTTGGACTCATAAAAAGCCATTTCTGGAAATTAGCAAGGTGTCAGTGCTGTGTCAAAGGAAGCAGAGACAGAAGCCACAGTAGGAGAGAAGTAGGAGAGAGGTTTATCCCCACTGTGGGATAAACCTGCTATCCTCCCAGCAGGCTATCCGGGAGCTCCACTAGGAGCCAGAAAGCAGCTGGAGGACAACTGTCTCTGAACCTAGCAGTCAGCACAATCCCCATGCCAGCTGCCATGAACGCCTGCTCATTCCTATCCAGCCTTGGGTCCTGCTCATTCCTGTCCAGCCTTGGGGCCTGCTCATTCCTATCCAGCCTTGGGGCCTGCTCATTCCTATCCAGCCTTGGGGCCTGCTCATTCCTGTCCAGCCTTGGGGCCTGCTCATTCCTATCCAGCCTTAGGGCCTGCTCATTCCTATCCAGCCTTGGGGCCGGAGCCTCGATTATCACCACTGAGCATGTCTCAGTCCTGGTCTCAGATTCTCCCACCAGCAGCAATCTTTACACATAACCCAAGCCAGAGCCTGGTCTGAAGTGGATCTCAGAGTAAGGTGAAGGGATGGCCAAGAGAAGAGAAGGGCGAGTGGGGAGGAACAAATGAATGAGCTGAAGTCTACAAAAGAGACTGATCTTCCCAAAGACCCCCAGTGGAGGTAAAGCCAGAACTTTGTAATGCCTAGGACCAGAGACCTACAGACATCCTGGAGGAAGCTAGGGGATAAAAAAAACTAATGCACTTTCCCCCAAACTTCTGACTCCTGCCCTAGGGAGACACCTTCCTTGGGGGAGGCAACACTCACCGAACAACATCCACCGCACCTGGCCGGACCTTGGGGTCACTTCCCATGATAGACACACTGGCAGCAAAGGACCCATCAATGCTGAACACAACACACTCCATGCCTCGGGGCAGCACCGTGAGGTAGCTCATCGCACAGGTCTGATCACCCCTGGAAGGTATCAACCTGAGGTCAGCTTGCAGCTAAAATCAGTCAGTCTGGGGTCAGGGTCTTGGTGGCACCTCCTGGTACTATGGCTGACGACCTCCTCCCTTTTCCTTTCTCCATGCAAACAGAAATAAACTCTGTCTTCTAGCCGAGCATGTATGGGAAAGCCACCCCAAAGTCCACCTTGTGAATGTCCTCACACACATCCTGGTCCTACCTGACCACCATCTTTACAGGGTAGACACCAACCCCCAGACGCCGGGGCCGGGGCACATTGTATGTGATTCTGCCACTGTTGTTGGTGATTTCTGTGTCCAGGTGGACCCAGCGACCTGACGTTGGCTCTGTCATCACCAGGATGTCCACCTGCAGCCAGTGAAGGGAGCAAGGAACCTGCTGCAGGCTGAAGGACAACATGCGTAACAGGCAAGACAACAGAGCCCTGAGTATAGGTTCCTGCCTGCTGTATCCTAGAGTTTTCTATCACCCTCCCTCCGTGTGGCAGCCACACTAACTTCCCCACCTTGGTGCCACCTCTTTGGAGGCATCAAGTTCCCCTTATCCCTGGTTGACTTGATCACTGGGTCATGCACCCTGTGCTGTGTTCCATCACCCTTTCTGCCCTATGGTCCTATGAGTCATGAGGGGCAGGTGAGCCAAGAAGGAGATATATGCTCAACCCTTGGTACCTTCTCTCCGGTCAGAGCTACCATGTCAAGAGGGCCGTACATGAAGCGCCCCACCAAGACCTGGGGGCCGTCTTCAGCCGCAATCACATCGTTGGCACGGTGGTTCGCAGTAACGTTCTGCAAGGACAGAAGGAAACCACCGGGCTCAGCTTCTGCAGAGAAGGCTCACTCTCACTTTGTCATTAAAGCCCTGTAAGGATGGCTTCCAGGGCGTGGCCCGACTGAATCAGCTGTCCCATGAGCTTCCTACACCAGAATCCCAGAAACAGACGGTGAAATACCAAACTGCTCCTTAGGCTGCCACAGAGGCGTGCCGAGTGCTCCTGATTCTGCACACCCCTGACGTGACGAATGGCCTTTACAACCTGACAATCATTTTTAGATTTCTGAGCTGGAAACTACTCAGTCACCTTTGGTTCTTCCTTCTGCTTAAGCAGCCGTTTACATAGGTCCTTTTTTTTAATGGAAAATTTCAAATGCATAAGAATAGAAAGAATATTATAGACGAGCTTGTGGGCCTGACCAGAGTACCCAGACTGATCAGCTGACTGCCTTCCAGGCCTCCTTTCCCTGAAGCCTCAGCCCCTCATCGGATCCTGGATGGTGAGTCATTCCCTCCCTCCATATCTCAGTGCCCTTGACTTTCAGTTCTGCCCCCATTCATTGTGCAGCTCCAAGTCCTGTGTTGGCCCCAACTGTCAGCACCCAGGCTAGCCTTTGAGATCCCAGTCCCTCAATCTGGTGACCTTTATACCTCATACTGGTCAAGTCTTTGTGTGTGCCATGCCCATACGTGTCATTTAGATTCTGCTAGAAGCTTCCTGATGAATCTCTGTATCTCAGGGCTGTCTCCAAACAGATCCTCTGTGTCCTTTACAAGACACAGATCTGACCCAACCTGGCCACCATCCCATACCTTCCACTCAACTCCAAAACCCTGAGTGTGGCACAGGGAGCCAAGCCTTGCAGAAGTGCCTCTGCATTCTGCTTTCCTGGTGCCCCTCCTTCGCCCTCTCATTCTGACATCCCTTTTCCCAAACTGCAGCCCATCCTCCAGGAAGAGACTCAACTCCATCCCCCTACTCCTACTGGCTCCCCAAAAATATGAAGTCCACCTCCTCTCAACTTGAAGGCTGTGCGATTCACCCCAATACACCTCTACAGAACTCACTGACACCAGTCCTTGAGAAAACCCCCATCATGGGACCTGCCCTAGTATGGGATTGGAGGTCAAGCACTGCACCTTAAGTACTGTGGAGCACTGCGGAGGGTGGATGGGTGCCTAGAAATTAGCCTGAGCAACGAGGTCATCACACACTAAGATACTCAGAGTCAAAGACACAGACAACAATGGATGCTGAGGGGAGGATGTGCCACAATCAGAACCCTCAAACACCGCTGGTGGGAATAAAATGGGGCAGCCACTGTGGAACGTACACTCAAGAGATTAAGTGTAGAGTCACCCCTCCTTATCTATGCCCCACCCCAAATGCCCATCAACTGGCAACAGGATAAACAGGACATATGGATACAGTAGACGAGTCAGGAAAAGGAGACAAGTTCCTATGCATGACACATCATGGGTAACCCTATGTTAACATGCTAAGTGAAAGAAGCCAGACACAAACACATGTGTGACTTCATTTACATGAAATGCTGAGAATGGGTGGGTCTGCAGAGGCTGACACTAGATGACTATTTGTTTACTCAGGGAGGAGTCAGCAGCAGTGCGGAAGGGAAGAGGGCTGCAGGGAAAGGGGGTTCCCTTTATGAGGTGACAACATGTTCTCAAACTGACCATGAGTCGGGTTGCATACAACTGTGGATAGACTAAAATCCCTTGATTTTGACACTGTAAATATCTGAATTATGTGATAGGTGAATTGTATCTCGATAAGTATGTTCATGCCCAGAAAAGCTGATTTGTGAAGAATTAGTCACTCTGCCTTCTAGGACTGTTTTTAGGACCCTGCTTACTGTCTTTTCTCACTAGACTGGAGCTGCTCACCACTGTATCAGTATACTCTCAGACTGCATCGTCCCAGCAGAGGAACTGAGACAGAGGAGGCAATGATGACAGTTTGCTGAAAGAATAAAAGAATGTGTCCTGCCCAGACTCCTCTTTACCCCCAACTCCCCATCTTTACAGAAGCCTGCAGTGACCTGCCCTGGAATCCCACCCATTTTCATCCTGGTGTGTATATCCCCATTGTAGCAAGGGTCACCCCGAGTCCTACTTAATAGCTGAGAGCCCTGGGCACAGGCAAGATCTTTTGTGTCAAGTCCATGTTTTCAGAAGCCTGGCATGGAGCAATCATTCTACAACTGCCCTACTTTTACCATCCCCAGAGCCCTCCCTGGGCTGCCAGGTGGAGCCATGGAGCCAGACTCTGAAGCCCACACCTGCTCCCTCATACAAGCACGCAGCCCAGCTGGAATGGAGATGAACTCTACCAGGCAAACCGGGAGGTGGGGGGCTTCTTATCTGGCACATGGCTGCCCACGTTCCCAAGGCCAGCTGCCCAACAAAGCCAACGGCAGCAAGCTTACCCGCAACTTGACCTGGGTTCGCTTGCGCAGCCACTTCTCACGGGGGTTAGCGGGGCTCAGAGCTGTGGGGTCCAGACCAGTGCTCTCCTTCACACCTGCATTCTCATACCGCATCACCTGGCCAAGAGCGGGGAGGGGCTTGGTAGCACGTTCTCATGAGTTGTCCTTCCACCTCCCCAAACAGTTGCCAGCCAGGGCCTGCTTCTGGACTCCCTCCTACATTGCCTGGACCCTGCTTCAGCCCTGGGAGCTGTCTCCCTTCACACCTGTCTGGACAACTGGAAGCAGAGAACTGTGCCCTTGGTCGCTCTGCTTTGGGGGCAGCCTCTGACCTTCATGCCTGAATCCTGCAGCTACCTAGTTAGCAATTGTTTGTTCTCTGCCTTCCCTCCAATGTTACAGGTGACCTTTGCCTAAGGCCAGCTGGAGCGGTGGACTCCTGGCTCTGCACTGTCCCCTTCTCCAGACCATTGCTCCCCAGTGCTCCCTTCTCTGGTCTAGACCATTTCTGCTGCTGAGTCATTTTTCTCAACATCCAAAAATGCCAACACTGCTCATTTCATATAAAATCGCTCTCTCCTTGGAGACCCTCATGACGCCAAGTCCTCCATAAGACTTCTCCACTCCATCTCCACATCCTAACCTGCCTACTCTCCTCTGGCTACCCAAACAGCTTCTGTACCCAGCATTCCATTGAAGCCACTTCTGTCATGTCCCTGGGACTTCTATCTCTCCTGGTTACTTATTCCATATTCTCCTCCAACCTATGGGGATGATAGCTTCCAACTCTTTAAATGGATCTTTCCTGTCTCCCTGAGGAGCTCCAGGCTTGTCTCTGAACTGCTTTCTGTGATGACCTCATTGTTATCCTTTTTCAAGAATAGCCAAGATCTGATGACAAGCATATTTTTGGCTCTAGTCCTGATATCATCCCTAAGCTCCAGACTTACTGCCCCCAATACCTACCATATGTCTCACCCTGCAGAAGCACAGCCTTGACTCCCCCAGCCCAGAAACCTTCTACCAAAGTCCTTGGAAGTTACTTCCATGGTTGTTCAATGAGTAGACAGGACCATTTAGCTAGCTCCATCCCTCAGCTCAGAACCCAGAAGTACTGGCACTGAATCCACCTGTTATCACCCCTTGGCATCTAGTTCAAGCTTTCATGTCCTGATGGGACTCATATACTATCTCTGCTTCCTAGGGACACCAATTCTCCTCTCCTGGATACCATAATGGCAGTCCTAAAGCTTCCTTCTCAAAGAACAGGTCAGCTGATAGCTCTTCGTTGATCACATCCCTACCATACCTAGGTAAAACCACACCAGACCTTCAGAACTGTCCCTAACTCTCTGTCCTCCCTACCTCCAGGTTATGGACTTCCTGCCATTCCATTTTAAAGGGAAAGACACTAAGGCCCAGAGGGACCAGACATGCATTGGTCCATCTCCTCCATCTTGATGCAGAGACATTCAGTAGAACCTGCAGAGAAGAGCTGCAGGTTCTACTTAATCATCTGGAAAGTCGAAGTTTTTAAAGGGACCCCTTTTCTGTCCTCTCATTTCTCTTGTCATCCTTGCCCCAGTGTTTTCCCACCACTGTCATAGGCTAACTGTTCCATGTGGCCACAAAAGAAGCCTGGGATTCCCCAGAGGGGCCAACAGGCTAGGCCCAATAAGGGAGCCACAGTACCTGTCTCAAGATGAAGGCGACCACATCAGTAGACTCCCAGTAGCTGGCATGGAAGAGATGAGGCAGAGCCACCGTGGGGAAGGCAGTGAGGACATCCGGGCAGTACAGAGCATAGTCAATCCTCTTGGTTCCCCACCACTTGGCTGTGACTGTGGGACCAAGAGGAAGGTAAGGACAGAAAAGCCAAAAGCCAGCAGGCACAGACTCAGTGGAAATGTGCCAGCAAGCTTAGGGCTACTGCACATGCCCAGAATGAGCTGAATGGAGAGGTAACTCCTGCCCTTTCACCAGCCCTTATGATTATCCACCACTAAGACATGGGCTTCCAACTAGTCACAAGAAGGAGAGCCAACCCCAAGGAGACAGTCATAGTTGCACTCCAGGGTACAGCTCCATAGTAATTTCCCAGGGGCTCTCTCTAAGGTCGCAAATAGTCTGTGCCTGCAAAGGTTGGGGCATAGTGTATGATCAGAGATCAGAGGCCTGTTTAGGGTCAGAGGTCAAGATTATACATGAGGTCACAATTCAATCATGGGCCAGGGTCAGAGGTCAAAACTACATTCAAAATTAGAACTCAGACTCCAAGGTTGGAAATAGGCTAAGATGGAGTTTGCTTAGCATGTGTGAGGGAAGCCCTAGCTAGGGCTTAATATCCAGCAGTGAGTTTAGGAATGGGCAAAACATAGTCCTAGCTGGTACATTCAGGGCTCTATCCTGGATCAGAGCTTAGCCAGCCTAGGAAATCAGTGAGGACTCAGAGATCAGTCCTCCCTCCACCCAATCCCATCCCCCACCCCAATGACAGGAACATCATCATAACTTCTTTCACAACCCCTCCTAACCCAAGAGCCTGCCCATAGTAGCCCTGCTGGGGCCCACCACCCCCAGAGAAAGTCCCTGCCCCTCAAATGCAAGCTGGGCCCCCAAAGGGCTTCACTCACTGCGGGAGGCACCCATAGGTGCCAGGCTGTCCGAGGACTCTGAACTGTCGCTATGGGAGCTGCCTTCACTTAGCCTCCGTCCTGTGCGCTGGAATCTTGGGGCTTGAGGGGGTGAGGCAGGGGCATCCAGAAGCGGGGGGCTTCCCCGGGAACTTTCCTCCAGGAAAAGGGGGCTGTGGGTGTGCAGGGCATCAGCTGGAGGGGGAATTGCAAGGTCAGGGCAAGCATTGAGTATCCAACAGAATGGCTTATTTAGTGCCAGCCCCATGCTGGACAAGAGACTGGAAATGCAGAGAGAAGCCAGCCCAGGCCTAGGAGGCCGCCATCACCCCATACCCACATACAAACATAGTACAAACTGTGAGTGATATAGACATAGGTGGTGAGCTTAGCATCATCCTATTGCACAAACGCTACAGGGAAGCCTGGGAGGTTGGCACTAAGGCCTAGCTGAAGTCATGATGTAATGCCTAACCATCAAATTCCTCCCCCAACCCACAGACACACATGACTGAGGTGAAAGCAGATGGAAATGACTTTAACCGGCCAGCCAGGGGTAGGGAAGAACCTCTACGATTGAGGGATCCCCCTTTTAGAGGGAACATCAAAGTAGCAGAAGCAGACGTTGGAGCCTTGCTTCCTCATGGAAGCCCTAAACAGATATACCCCTTTGAGATGAGGAGCAAGGACAGGTAAGTTCTAATCCTGGAAAGAGTTACAGGTACAGCATCCACTCATCTCTGACCAAAACCTCTAAAACCACTAGGCTAGAGTTCCCCAATGGCGATATGGAGCTATGGAGCCAAGACTGGTTGCCAAGTGCCTGTTTGTTCATGCTGAGCCTGCCTTTGGCCATATCCTACCCAGTCACATACATATTACTTTGAACCCAGAAGCCACTGGTTCTTCTCTGAACTAACCAACAGTTCTTATTGTCCCTCCAATGCCTCTCTACCTATCCAAATACAACTCTTTTCCAAGCGCTGGCCAAAGGTTACCCCTTCCATGAATCCTACCAGGATGACACACACTCCTCTGTGTCTTTGCAGGGTCTGGGATGTGCACTGGGAAGCGTCTTTGAGCAGGCACCTTTGACTTGCCCTCAGATCACTAACTCCACTGTTATTCCAGCCTTAGCCATAGAAGCTCACATGGGAGCCTGCCAATGACGAGTGGCACCAAAATTCCTGTTACAGAGAAGGTCCTTGGCATAAGGAGCTACTCTCAAGCATTGAAGCCAGCTGGCTTCCTGCCCACACCTCTCACAGCACAGACCTGCTCCCATGAACCACTCCATCGCTGACAGTTTGAGAGGCTGAGCCAGAAAGAGCAATCCCAGAGCCTACCAGCCTCCAACTTAACACACTCACAGTCTCAGGACCTACCGAGCAGGAGAGACTGTCCATCACCCAGGGGGAACCTCTGGTAGCGAGGCACGCTGACAGGAGGCACCAGGTGGAACTTGGGCTCCAGCAGTGGCTCAAGCCGTGATGCAGAGGGATCTGCACAGTGGAAGAAGCTGTAGACCTGGCTACAGGCAGGACGCATCTGGAAACCTGGGTGAGTGGGAAGAAGACACATGCACAAGCCCCTTTCTAATGGTTCTAATAGGCTCCCTCGAATACAGCCTTCAGTAGCCTTCTCTGCTGCTCAGACACATGCAAAGTCCCTTTCTAATGCCTCTGAAAGGCTCCCTGGAATGAAGCTTGAGTGGCCTTCTCTCCTACTCAAGAACCTCCCCTGGGTCCTTGCTACCAATCTTAGTTAAGGTTTCTATTGCTGTAATAAAACACCATGAAAAATAGCAGCTTGGAGAAGAAGGAGTTTATATCATCTGGCGACTCTCAGGTCATACCATCACTGGGAGAAGCTGGGCCAGGAACTCAAGGCAGGACCCTGGAGGCAGGAACTGAAGCTGAAGCCATGGAGGACTGCTGCTTACTGACTTGCTCCATTTGATTTCTTATACATCCCAGGACAACCCACCCAGGGACAGGACTATGCACATTGGGCCAGGTCCCTCATGTCAATCACTAGTTATGAAATGGCCCACAGCCTTTCCTACAGGCCAATCTTGGGAAGGCATTTTCTCAATTGTGGTTCCCTCTTCTCAGATGAATCTAGCTTTTGTCAATTTGACAGAAAACTAGCCATCACACTACCAAGAAACAAAATGCCCAGTCTGGCACTGAAAGCCTGGCCAATCTGCCCCACCTAGGGGCACCACTGTAAATAAACAGCACTGTAGCCCTGGAGAACATCTGCAAGCTTGCTGCTTTTCTTCCCCTGTGTTCAAACAGGACTTCCTTCAGACTACAGGGCCCTCCTTCCACTCTTCACACTGGGATACTTCTTTAAGTTCCTCTAACCAACACTCAGCCACTACCTGATTTATTATGCCAACCCAAGTCCCTTCAGCTAGGACAATGGCCCCTTGATCAGGAGCTCTCAAGGTTAGCCAGAACAGGTGAGGCAATTCCTACATTGGCCAGCAGGTGTCTCGATGGAGGCCCTTGCCTCCCACCAGTCCTAGGTCAGGAGCTTGGGTTTGTGGCACTCAGGGAATTCTAAGTCTCCTTTGCAACATTGAGAGTGGCCATGAGCCCTGCCTCTCTCCTTGCGTCAGCTCTCACAACAGAGAGCAGTGAATGACAGGCTGCATTCCTGTCCTCGGACCCTCTGGAAGGCATGTGCTGGTCAAATGACATCATGTGTCTGCTTTGTAGGAGCTGGAAAGAGCTTTAACTTCAGCTGCTATGTGGCAAAGGCCCCCAATGCTAGTTGGGGTAGAGAGGTTCTGAGACTTGTGTGGCTGCAGGAAGTCTGCTGGACACAGAGAGGGAGGGTTTGCTGTGATCGAGTGAATGTTTGTGGCCTACATTCTCATGGGGCATGACCACAGGACAGAGGGGCAATTAATAATCTAGGGGCCCATGGAAAGGACAGTGAAGTCCACCGAGCCGCCTCATGAATGCCCAGCCTGGGGAAGCCACCTATCTTCTCCCCCAGTTTCTATCATTTTTCTGTATCCGACCTGCCTCGATCACTCTGTCTGCCCTCCCACTCCCCAGTTTGATCCCCTCAGCCATTGGCCCACCCATACCCACCATCTATCCCAGGCAGCACTGTCCTCCGCATGGCCAGGACCAGGCCCAGTGGCGAGCCGAAGAGGAAGAAGTCAGATACGTCAAAGTCAAAGCGACCCAGGCTGACCTCAGAGAGCTGGGGTGTGCCAGCAGCAGGAGCCTCTGCCTCATCCTTCAGCACACTGGAATGGATGCTGCCAGAGGGAGGGATGGCAGGTCAGAGGAGGGCCAGGACTGTGGGAGTGTCCATTTTGCGGCACAGATGCATTCTGGGGTCAGGGTGCCCAACCCTCTGTTACTGGAATGGGACTCCGAACCAGAGACCACTTTTGATACCATCCACAGAGGCTCGTGACCTAGTATTGGCCACCCAGGCCAACATTTGGCTGGAGCAGAGTTCAGCAAACATTTTCTGCTGGGGCCAGGTGGTGAGTCTGAAAGATTTTATGGGCCACCTGCATCCACCGCCTGGACTTATTCCGCCATGCCAGACATCCACAGATCATGCTTAAGCGATCTGTGTAGCTGGGATCTGCTATAGCTTTTCTTATGAAACCTGGTTGAGCACCTGAGAGCAACTGACCATCCTGCATTCCCTGCATGCTGTTTGTCTGAAAATCCCTGTACTTTCCACAGGAGAATCCTGGTCAGCACATGGGCCAGCTGGCTGCTGCTGGTGCTGTTAGCAGCAGGGTTTTTCTTTTTACCATAACTCATGTTCCAGGCAACAGGCAGACACAGGTACAAATAGCCTCATCTCCCCACTCCTCTTAACAGATGCATATGAGCAGGATCCCACATTCTCATCCCAAGAGCCTGATATACCCCAAGGAATCTAGCTTGTGTTTAGCCAGAGATGTAGAGCTGGGCACTGAAAGGAAACAGAAGCCAAGGCTGCCTCCCTGACCTTCCATCAAACACCAGAGCCAGTAAATGGTTAAACTGTGACAGGGGCAAAGTCATCTAAAATACTCAAGTTAGAGAAAAAAAATTTCAAAGTAACAGTTTAAAATGCTGCAGGCAATGGTCCACCCTCAGGAGTGAGCCAGCCTGCAGTCTTCATGCACTGCCTCCTGCTCTCTCAGCCAATGATGACAAAGTTTAACTATGTATATTCCATGTACAGCATGGTCCCTAGACACTTGCCAACTACTTAATTGCCAGAGACACAGCCATCTGTTCCTGCACCAGAGGGGAAATCTGGCTGTGTTGTGCTCACTACTTACAGTCGTGGATGTCTGACTGATTGCTCTTCAGATCTGGGCTTTCCTAAAGGATGCTTCAAGGATGAACCAGAAATGTTGAGGTTTTCACCTCTCAAGCCTCCGTTGTACCTCGATGCTAATCCAGAGGCTGACTTGATAGAGGAGCCCTAACATTCAAAGCTTAATCCTACAGAACCTGCAGCCTCCTATCCCACCTCCAGGAATCCATCTACAGCATAGACAGAGGTCCCCACTCATCCACAGGGCCATCTCCCAAGACCTCAGTGAAAGTGCCAAACCCTTTGCATAGGGTGCTTTTCCTATAGTTAATGTACCTGGAATAAAATTTAATTTATATGTTAGGCACATTAAGAGAATGGTTAATAACAAAATAACAATTATAACAATATAATGTAATAAAAGTTATTTAGGTGTATTTTGCAAAATATTATAATTTCACATTTTCTCTTAGAGGGGACACCCTGCAGCTTCTCTTTGTCATACCTAAATTGCCAGCATAGTTATTTACTCTTACACTTTGAGACCTTCCCGAAGTAAAGCAAGGATCACGTGAACACTAGCACTGTGGTACCGTGACGGTGGATCTGATACTCTGGCAGCCAGGTGGTACGGGTAAGTAGCATAGACAGAGTGGATACACTGGACAAAGGAGTGACTCTTGTTCAGAGCAGGACAGCCTGAGACATCATCACACCGCTCTGCAGAGTGTACACCTTACAATTTAGATCTGATTTACCTGTGAAATTTTCTATTTAATATTTTCAGACCGTGGTTGACTGACCATAAGTACATGGAACCACAGTATACAAACCACGGGTAAAGGCAAGGTTACCATAAGTCTAGCATACACATTAAGGTTTATGCACAACGGTCTCTAGTGTAGGAGCTACAGAGCTGGTTCAGTGGTCAAGAGCATTGTGCTCTTGCAGACAACAGGTCCCCAGCACCACCGTCGGGTAGATCTCAACCACCTGCAACTCCAGCTCCAGGGAATCCAGTGCTCTCCTCTGGCCTCTGCAGGTATTTGCACATACATACACAGACACACAGACACAGAAGTAAAACTCAAAATAATCTTTTTGAAAATATACCCAATGTAGAGCTTTTTATAGCAACAAAAAACTGAAAAACCCCAAAATATCCAATTAGTTGGATTGAGGAAGTAGTTATATACCCAAATTTATATTACATTAAGAATATTTGCCAAATATTTTTAATTATATGGGGGGAAGGTCACAGAATAAGAGGCTTTGGGATTCTTTGTGTTTTAGTAAAGCTATATATAAATTATGTAAAAAAGAAAATACCGTTTTGATGACACCATGATTCTTGCCACTTAGAAGGCAAATGAGGGAAAGTGGAGAAGAGTGAAAAGGGGAGAACTGAAGAGAAATGACAAGAAAAAAACCCTCCCCCCCACCACCGGTTTGGGTCCATGTTTCAGTGCTCATTTCTCTCCTGCATCAATGTGCAGACGGTTTGTTTAGCTTCCCATCAGCCGTCTCTTCTAGAAAGTGAAAGGATAGTTTGTGGAGTTTGTCATGTCCAAGACAGTGAGGTGAGGACAGAGAGAGGACAAAGAGAGCAGAATGCTGCCCCAGCTCTTCAGAACCCAGAAGTGTGACTTCTTCTCTGAGAAACAATAAGTATGAACCCTGGGGTAGTCCACCAAGCACATCTCTTTCTGTGACCTCACTAGATTTGCCAATCTATACAAGAAGTGGATGGGCCGCCCTATCCTTTCGCAGAGAGGAAGCAAAAGGTCAGAGAGGAGCAATAGACTATCCCCCTGTCTCCAGGTTGGAACAGAACAGAGACAAACAGAAAATTCCCTGGTGTGGATGCAGGGCCAATGACAAGTGACCCTGGTTCCAGAAATCTCATGCTGTCTATGAGTCCCTGGGGAAGTGTCTAGGATGACTGGCTGGTCACAGGTCCCACTGATGGGTGACTCTGTGACGCAGAGTCTTACTCTCTTGGATGCTGTGATTCTGTGATGCAGCCGGGAGGGAGTGGAGGTTACCTTGAGAGGAAGGCGTGATGCTGGGTGATGGCCTCGCAGTCATATGTGGAGGAGTCACTCTGTTTCCGTGGTGACGGCCTTTTAGGGTCCTCATCCTCCACTCCACTGGAGACATCGACATTGCTCTTGCTGAGACGCTTGCTGTTGGCCAGATTGCAGTCCTCCTCCACCACCACAGGGGTGTCCTTGAATAGAACACATAGCAATCACAGGGGTCCTGGGGCCCTGCCTCCTCCCCTTGGCATAAGTGAACCCCCTTTTGCCAAACATGTGGTCATGGTTGCAATTGGTTTATTCATGGGCTTCTTCCTATGGCCACAGGGATGGACAACTGAGTCAAGACATTGGGCAGCTCTCTAGGGAGACACACATTAGCAGGCATCTTCTAGGCCTGTTTCTTGGTCTGTGCTAACGTGCTTTTGCTATTTACATATAATCCTTTGTACCACAGATGCCATAATGCCCACGTGAACACTCGGAACTGCCTTCCCTGGGGGAGCCACCTGCTCCTCTGCTCTTATGAGACACACACAGGGACATCTCCCCTCTACCATCCCCCAGCCTGGCCACACCTGGGTACTGCTGATGCTCCCCTTCCGGCTGCTGCTTCCAGGGCTGTCCCCTGAGGGCCCGGCACTGTAGCAAATAGCATCAAAAGCCAGGAGGCCGCCCACACAGTCCCCGATGAGACACACCTGCAGAGGTACAATAGGGTTGCAGGGCTGCCTGTTGAAGCCCTCTCGCCCTACACCCAGTCTCAGTAGGGGCATGGTCCCATGAGAGAATAAGGAGTCTGTTCTAATGAGTTGTTTAGAGCACAAATGGAGGGTAGGCTCATCTTGAAAATAGATTTCCTTTGGAGTCAGCCAGAGGTCAATGGTCAGGCTATGCTTGGGAGTCAGATTAGCTAAGGGTCAGCACAGACTTCAAATCAGGGCAAGGGGACCACCTTGTCCCCATCAAAAGCCTCCCTCAGTCTCAGATGCTACAATTCCAGCCTGCCTTGATCCTTGCAACAGATCCCACCCCCTTTTAGGTAGCAGCTGGCACAAAGTGAGAGAGAGCAAGATGCCTTACCTGTCCATTGAAGCCAATCCCATCAGAGGACTTGAGAAACTCTCCATAGATGTGGTTTGCTCGCTCAATGACAGTGGCAACAGCATCCTGGTACTGTGGGGAGGAGATGGCCAGCAGGGGAAGGGCAGCCAGGGGAACGTGGTCCTGGCTGGTACTGAGGCAGCCCTCGTCGTGGCTATAGGGGTTCAGGCTGAAGACAGGGGGCCCAAAGTCAGCCTAGCCAGGACCAAGAAATGGGTGGCATGGGCCTTTGGGCTCCTTGCTCCATGCCCAGCTCCAGAAAAATTTAAGGACCCAGGAAAGGTCCACTGAGGCAAATCACAATGGGGCAAGGGGGAAAATGATGAGGACTCAAGGCTGTGCTGACCCCATATATGCCAGCCCATGCCAGACTGTGGTGTGGCATAGCCATGCTGTCTGTCAAGAGCCTAAAGACATCCCAGTTCTGAAAAAAAGCTAGAGAATTAGCTAATGAAGAATAGTGTGGGCAAGCAGCATCATGATAGACTTTCTGGAGGAGGAAAGTGATGAATTAGACTCTCAAGAGAGACGTTGGGAAGCTGAGAAGGGAAATGTGACCATGGTTCTGGTGTAAAGGTGACACCACCTAACTGTATGTATGATGGTATGTTCTATATTCTGTGTTCATGGGACAGATTCTCTGCTTCATCAGTTTTGCAGAGAGGGCTAGGGGAGCTGCAATACAGAACTCCACTCCCAGAGGACTCTGTATCCCTCCATCTCCCTCCTAGGAAGTCCCTCCCTCTCTGGGCAACTCAGACCCACCTGACTTCCCATACCTACCCAGAGTACCTCTGCCCCCTGGCACCCTTAACCTTGATGCTTTGTTGGGCCTGACTGGTTAGAACAGACACAGAGGAAGTCTGAGAACTTCCTGCCCCAGGCCATTAACCTGCCCTTACCCCATATGACTAGTTCCAGAGTGTCTAAAGCTTAGAGCAGACTGTACCAACAGAATCGAGGACAAGTGACAGGACTCAGGCACCCTCAGCAGGTGGCAGAGTCCTAGCAGTGTACAAGGCAGGTTCCCACCAACCATTTCTCATATCCAAAGACCACAAATTAGAGGAAACAGGCCTCGATTGCAGCCAGAGAGATTTTAATTAGCCGAGAAGGAGCTCCTCCCAGTAGTGATTACTGGTGATTAATGACCCTGGCAAGAGCTGCCTGGGGGAGAGGTAAGCTCTCTCCTGCTGTCCCCTCAAAGGGCCTGGCCATCCATCTTCCTGAAGATAGGGATGACCCAGCTCTAGAGGTCAGCCATCCTAAGGGGGTGGGGGTAAGAGGCGTCTTGAGATGGATTGTGGGCCAACAAGATTAACTCTGGGACTGCTATGAGTGTGGAGGACCGGAGCCCTGCCACCAGCTCAGCTGCTCCTTAATCCCACAGTGGAAGAGCAGTAGCAAGCTCTTGTCTAAGAAGCAGATTCCAGGGCTCCACCCACTCAGCTGCTCCACAGGAGCCTGCACATCTTGCCTTTGACATGGGTCACAGGAGAACTGGGGCAATTGGCTAAGCTGGGAAGCACAGACCTAACTTGCTTTCTGTCTTCTATCTGTGATGGAGATCTACCTGAGGACATCCTGGGAACTCAGGAACACCAGCCTCTGAGCCTCTGGGCACCATTCAGGGAATGAGCAGGAGGGAAAAGTCCAATCCCTGCAAGATCCCGGGCCACTGGAAGTGAAAGACCGGGCTCTCAGGCCCATCCCACCCTGGAGTCCCTGGAAGCATGCAAGTTTCCCTTCTCTTGAGAGTTTGAGTGTACTCCAAGGTAGAAAGCCTAGAGGAGGCGCTTGAATGAAGGACTTTCTGAGGTCATATGAGGAGAGGGTGAGGGAGGAGTCCCCTTTGCCCCACCTGCAGAAAAGTCTGGCTTTCCTGCTTTAGTTGCAATAATTTACTCAGTGTCTTCTAGGCCACGTGGGCCCTGCAGGTGCACAAAGCTCATTTTGCAGACAATTGGAAAGAAAGCAGGTGTCCAACTGGCTCCAGGTACCCACCTTCAGCTACTTCAGTAGTGACACCTGGGGCACTGGGACACTGGAACACTCAAGTCCTGGCATGGTGGATGGAATGTCTCCATGAGGACCAGTTCTCACAGAGCCCTTTGGTCTCTCAGCCTGTCCCTCCCTATTACCCTTGTCCACAATTGAAGGGACACACTGGCACTTACAGGAAGTGGCCTAGTGTTCAGCCTATGCTTCTGCTGTAGCATCCTTTCCCTGCTGTGAGCTAGGACAGGACATTCTCCACCAAAAGGAAACAGGCTAAGTGTGGCCCTAAGACGTCGCCGTTGCAGCCAATGGCAGTCCCGATCAGTATGGACACTTGCCATGTGTGGTGATGGGTTTAGTCTTACAGACCAACACCAGTATTCTTACCTTCTAGGGACCAGTCAATAACATTGTCATCTTCATTTTACAGATGAGAGTCTTGAGGTAGGAAGCGGTAACATAATTCCCCAAGCCCACACAGCCAGGATTAAGACCAGGCTGGCCAAAGAAGACATTCACTTAGCCACACTATGATATTCGAGTCAACTTCTCTGGGAAGTCTTCCTTGACTGAGTGTGAGCGTGCCTTGGGCTACCTTCATTAGAGTATCTATCCCTACAGGGCTGTTTGCTGAAGTGAGGCTGCCTCTGTGTGACTCCCAGCTCCATTCTTTGGATAGCTGGGGGAAATGGATAATCGCTCAAGGCCTGTTTCTTGTTTCATTCTAATGGAAGTAGATCTGGGCTAGCACAGGAATCCTGGCATCCCCAGGTCCCTGACAGAAGACTCTTAATGACCATATCCTACTAGTGATGCTCTCAGCAATTCTGACTTGACACCAGACAGGCCTCAGCAGGTGCTCCCAAGGCAGGGTATTCCTCATCTTACACCTCCCACACCAAACTCAGACCGTGCAAACAAGCCAAAATGACTCACTTAGAGACGAGTGAGAAAGCCTCCGAGCAGATGGCAGGACAAGGGACGAACTTGATAAGGATGTGTCCCAGGGCAGCAGGGAAGTGGGCGCGCATGACCTTCTCCAGCACAGAACTGAAAGTGTGAATGTCGGCTGCCTTGCAGGAAGGGTCACCAGAGCCGGTGTCCAGGACGTTGCCCCCATGCAGCACCAGCAGAAGGACATGTGTCTTGCAGGAGCGCTGTGAGCAGCCTTCCTGAGAAGGATATGGCAGGGATAGAGACAGGCAGGCAGCAGGCACCCAGGATGCTCAAGGACAAAGAGGGGGGCTATGGCTGACATCCCACAGCAACTGTAGGACTCTAGTACATCCAGAAAGCTACTTGGAGGGCCAGACCCTTAGTGGACAGCACAGCAAGATGAGTCTAGAGTGACTCTTGTGCCTGTGGGAACCTGAATCCCAGAGAACAGCAGGGAGCTACCCAAGGGTCATACAGCAAAGAAGAACAGGATGGAAGTTAGGCAGCCTGTCTAGCCTCCTAGGGTTCTTCCTATGATGCTGGCCAGGTGCCTCCAAAACGCAGCACACCTCGCCATCTTCATGGATCTCGATGCTTCCTTGGGCTGGGAACTTCTGCCTTCTAAGGGACACCCGATACAGTTCTCCTGCAGAGAGGACAGAGAAAGAATGCAGCAGGCTCCCACTACACTAGTGTTCCCTAGGTGCAGCAGGCTGCACAGGGGAGGGGTCCTGGTTTATTGGGATGCTAGAATTATAGTCTAGAGCTAGGGAGTATCCCTCAGTTCAGGCCTCCAGCTCTTGAGCCTATACAACACAAAATGGCTGAGCCCTTCTAAGGAAAAGAAGCCAAGCGGAGGCCAACCATCACAGATAGGATGTCCTAGGAAAGAGCAGTCCTTCTTACTTCACTGGTAATGTAGTCATGCTAGAGTCCTGTGACATTTGGGAACTTGAGGCAAATGCCCCTTGAGAACAGTCGGAACGCTGCTGTGGTTCATCTCATCTAAGTGTGACCAAGCTAAAAGATGTTTTGTGCCTCCTGGGTGGGCCTTTGAGGAGCTTCCAAGAGGGTTTAGCTCTGACTCCAGGGGCTGAATTGGGAAGATTCAGTCCCAGGGGTAGGCAAACATCACCTCTTCTGCTGTGGCCTGAACCTAACAAAAGGGTTGGGATGCTCATGGTGTCAGCCTTAGGATATTTATGTTTCTGAGTCTCCACCTTCTGGCTGGAGTTAAGGCCTTACATCCCTGGATCCCTTAAAACCTCAGGCCTCTGGGATTACCCAGAAACTATATTACTATATTTCACTGACTTTGGATGATTGGCAGATCACAGGACTTCTCAGTCTTTACTGCTGGGCAAGCCCAGCACTCATTAGAAATTTTTCATTTTTATTTTCCTGCTTTGGGGAGGAGTTGTTGCTCATTTTTCTTTTATTACATTATTTGTTTGTTTGTACATACACACACGCAGAGGAAAACCCACAGCAGTCAATTGTCTCTCCTTTGATCATGTGGGTCCCAGGATTGAACTCAAGTGATTAGGCTTAGTGGCAAGTGCCTTTATCTGCTGAACCATTTTACCAACCTGGTTTCAGTTATAGGTGTTGTTTTTGCTTTCTTTTTTTAAAAATATCTATGAGTGTTTTGCCTTAATGTATATATCTGTGTAACATGTGTGTCCCTGTTATCCATGAAGGTCAGAAGAACACAGGACATCACATCTCCTGGGACTGGAGTTACAAACAGTTGTGAGCCACCATGTGGATTATCATAATGGAAGCCAATCCTTCTACAAGAACAAGTGCTCTCTGAATGCTTTGAACAAGTGTCAAGTCTTTGGTCCCAGCCCTCTTAAATAAAATATCTGCTTGGGACTGGGAACATAGCTCAGAGGTTGAGCAAATTGTCTAATATGTTGCATTCCCACCACAAATAAATAAAATAATCAAACCTGGCTGGTGTTTTTAGTGAGATAGCAAGGCTCTGACCATGTCTCAGGGAAAGTGACTACCCAGAAAGGGAAGGCAGCCATCTGGGATCAACTAGGAGCTTTGGTGTCACGCAGAACTTTCCTTCTCATTCCTGCTTGCTGCCTAACTCAACACCTTCTCCAAGAAGGGGTTTTTGGGGTCCCTGAGCTCCCATTGCTCTAATAAAGGGGTCTATAGCCAAGAGTAGAATCTGCTGCTTTTTTTAAAAAAAAAAAAAGATTTCTTTATTTTATTTATACGAGTGCACTGTAGCTATCTTCAGACACACCAGAAGAGGGCATCAAATCCCATTACAGATGGTTGTGAGCCACCATGTGGTTGCTGGGAGTTGAACTCATGACCTCTGGAAGAGCAGTCAGTGCTCTTAACCACTGAGTCATCTCTCCAGCCCCTGCCGCTTGCTTTTTGTAAATAAGGTTTCTTTGAAACACAGGCGATGCGTCCATTTGCATATCATCTATGACTGTTTTCACGCTACAGCACCTGACTTCACCTGGCAACAGACTCAGCCCTCAAACCCTAAGATACTTATTCTCTGGACTTTTCCAGAACAATGTGCCAATCTTTGATCTAAGGCCCGTACTCCTCATTGCATCAGACTAATCAGACCCTCATGTGGAAAGAGATCTCAGACATCCCACAACCACTCCTTACCCCTTAACAATGCCTGGCACCCCAAGAATCCTTCCTTCATCAGCCCACCAAGCCTCCTCTCTCCCTACCCAGGAGATGGATACTATTGCCTCTGTGTGCCTGAAACTCACCGCTGGACTGTGAAGCACTCTTTTGCTTCTGTTGATGGGGAACTCAACTTTTTGCTCAGAAGCCCATTCTAGATGAGGATAACCCTCCCCCATTATCCCTCTGACCTCTGCAAGGTTTGTGGGGGCCTTCCCATGGCTCTGTAGGCATCCCTAGCCAACCAAGGTCTGGGTCAACATTCCCCAGCTCGGTCCAGGGAGAACTACCTGCAAAGAATTCTAGACAAGGAGTTGTTCTCATGTGGGAAGAGCAATTCTGAACTATTGGGTTTGTACAGACACAATCCTAAGCTGGAGGCAACTTCTTTGTGAGCTCTGGGTTGCTTCAGTGTGGATGAAAATTGTTTCCTGAGCCTGGCAGTTCCTTATGAGAAGGAGGCCAGGACAAGTGCTCCCGAGGCCTGGCTCTGCCTGCCACCTTCTAATTCTCCTGTCTGTTTCTGTCGTTGTCTATAGGGTGAGTAAGTGCATGTATGCGAGTGTGCATGCATTCATGTGTGTGTACTATGTATGTGTAAACATGCACAAGTGCCACAGCCTGCATGCAGAAGTCAGAAGACAGCCCCAGACACTGGTCCTCACTTTTCACCTTGAGACAAGATTACCTGCAAACTTCTGGGAATTCTATCTCAGTTTCCCATCTCGAAGTAAGAGCATTGGAATCACAGACCCATGGTCTACTGTGTCCAGCTTTACGTGAGCTCTGGGGATTCAAACTCAGATACTCACACTTGCATAGCAAGTGCTTTACTCAATCTTCTCAGCCCTGGCTTCTTGCTTTCATTTTGGACTTTTATTGAGACAAGGTCTCCCTAAATAGCAAAGGCTGGCATGGAGTTCTCCATCCCCCTGTCCCTGCCTCCTGGGTGCTAAGATTGAAGGACAATGCCACCCTTTTCCCCTAGTCCTTCTGTCTTTTTCTAGCTACAAAAGACCTGGCCCTGGGCCTGGATAGGAGAGGCCTAGGTTCTGCACTCAGGACAGGATGGTAGTAAACGGCAATAGCCTTATCAAGGATTGGCACGTGTCAAGTGAGCCATTTCCCCAGCTGCCTTCTCAGTTTAGACGGCTCTTGTCCTTGGTCCCATTTTACAGATGAATAAACTCTAAAATCTTTAGTTTACACATCCCAGGTCATTTGGGCCAGCCATATAACAAATAAGGCTAACAAAACCCCACTAGAGGGCCCCACCTCCATTGAAGATGGCACTCAGCCAGGTGGTGCCCTGCCCTTCTGCTGCAGCTGCAGGCTATCCCTCCCTGCAGAAGGAAAATGCAGAGAGCATCTGAAAGTTGAGTCAAGATCTGCTGCCCAAATCTTCTTTTTCTACAACATGAAACCATTTGTCACTGGAGAAAGAATGTCTGGAAAGAAGCCAACACCAGCATGAAGTAAAAAGTGGTCTTGTAGTGCATGTAGCCTCTGAGCATGTCTGCCCCTCTGGAGTAGGTACAGGGAGGAGTTGGCCAAGATCAATAGCAGCATTGGGGAAGGGGATAAATGGGACAGCTCTGCCTCTGAGTCTGTGTTCTCCAAAACCATGGGCTTTGAAACCAAAAGGCCTGAGTTCAAGAGTTGGCTCTTATCAGCTGTGTGATCTAAGCCTGTTTTCTCACCTGGGGTCCAAGAATGCCACAGTAACAACATAACTCCCTTATGGAGCAGAGTGAGCATCAATGAGTCCCCATAGGTGGGGGGGGGGGCTTTAGAACAAGGCATGGAATATAACACCTGTGATCCGTGTTAGCTGCTATTGTTATTCATATTATCCTGGGAGCAGGGGAACGAGCATGGCTGACAAGATAGGATGAAGGCTGATAGGGACATCACCGCCTCCACACTCCCTTGCCCTGCCGCCAAGTCCCACCCCAAGCCCTGGCAAGCTCACCGACCTCACTGGGCTGGGTGCCTGCTTGCAGTGTGATTACAGGATTGAATGCTGTGATTGCCACAAATTAACATTGCGTAGCTATAAATAACTCAGTGAGAAGACATGAGGGTCCTGCTGTCTCCCAGGCACCATGCCCTCTGCTAGGTGGAGGCTAAATTCTGCATCTTCACTGGTGACATAGACCTAGGAGCCTCCACAGCCTCTACCTGCCCCGAGTCAGCCACCCTGGGCCGGACACAATACTCACAAAATTGGTAGATGCGCAGGGCATCTTGGCCATAGATGATGCTAAAGCAGTTTTCAGATCAGTTGAGATGGGAGCTGAGGGCTAGAGACAGGATAGGGGCATCTGCAGCATCAACTCCCCACACCATCCCCAGGAAATATCTCACTTTCTCTGCAGTTTGGGGAACCTAGCCCTGCTTCCTTGGATGCACAGACCCACAGAAATTGTACTCTCAGCCACCAGGAGACTTTGCCTGATAGATGCAGATTCTGGTCCCTCGGCTACTTCCTGCCAGGACCACCTACAGTATAGCAGAGGCTTCTGTGAACAATCAGGAAAGTAGTCTTAAGGCTGCCCTGTCTGTCTGTCTGTCTGTCTGTCTGTCTGTCTGTCTGTAAGCCATAAGACTACTTTATTGCTATTGTTACTGTTGCTGCTGCTGTTTTGAGACTAAATCTTACTATATATCTCAGGCTGGCTTCCAATCCTTGGCAATCCTCCTGCCTCAGCCTTTTTCCCTCTCCAAGACAGGGTTTCTCTATGTAGACCTGGCTGCTCTAGAACTTGCTTTGTAGACCAGGATAGCTTCAAACTCAGAGATCCACCTGCCTCTGCCTTCAGGGGTGCTGGGATTAAAGGTGTGAGCCACCACTGCCCAGCCTGCCTCAGCCTTTTGCATACTGAGATTCTAGGCAAGTACCACCACACCCAGCCAAACCTAGTCCTTTTAAGACCCTCCCACAATAACCAAGATCACTGGGTCTGATTCTCG